TACCCTCACATCACCTGTGTTTAGGAGCTGTGAGGACTTCCATTTACATGTTGCTAAATAGCATTACAAGGTCTAACAGAATCTCATCCTCAGACTAATCAGTACAGCATTATATTACCACCCAACAGCACACCGTGATGAAGTGAGTAAACGTAGAGGTTTTCAAACAAAGCTAAGCTGAGGATAATTCAGTTTGGATCACAAATTAGATGTAGTGGTAAAAACTAAATTTCATCTAATCTTTGAGTATTGAACTTTGTGCATATCTCTAGGAGGAAACAAGAACATAACAGATTATAAAGAAAATAATGCTTCTGCCTATAGATTTTCTGTTTTATTAAATGTGTCATGATAATTATTTTGTAAATGTAATTATTTTTTCATATCAGTATTAAGAAAGAAAAGCAAATAGGATTCAATCTAATTTATGAGACTTCGGAAGATAATTTAAAGCATACTGATTACAGTGTATCAGTCATAATTACAAAATATATAAACTAAATAATATGAACTAATAACCTGCTGGTTTTAGACCAAAGAATCAAAATGCAGAATGGAAGTTCTTTTTTTTCCATGCACTTAAGTCAAGAAATCAAGACAGCTTTATGTAGTTTTATGATAGTTCTGGAATTTGACAATTAAAACAACCAAAATCCCATTCCTCCAAAATGAAAGCATGAATCTTCAGAACTAAGCACTTGACTGCATTTTTAAAATTGATTTTTAAAATGTATTTTTCACTTGCTTCTTGCAATGCTAAATAAAAGCATAGTTTAATTAAAAAATTAAGGAGAATCAATTTGTAACAAATTTATGAAAGCATATAATGGCTCTTACATAATATTGAGCAGCCATACTTCTGATTTAAAAAACTGATTTCCTACATAATCATAATGAATGATTCCAGAAATATTACTCTGGTTCTGGGTTTCCCTCTTCTTACTGACACCTTAAAACTATATTGATAATGCTCAGACCTGTGTTGGACCATGCACAACATTCTTGTTCACAAGCGAAACTTCTGATGCACAGGGAAGATACTATCCATGCTTTAGCTCTTAGACTTGCACTTTCTTTTTTCCTCTGTTTTCAGAATTAAAACTCTTTTCACTTGTGTTGCTCCTGGGCATCGAATACAAGTTTCAGTCTTTGGTCTGTAGGAATTTAAGAGTTGAAGTTACACCCCGACTATGCTGGGGTGCTCTTTCTGCTCTCCTCTCTTGGCACTCCAGTGCAACAGTGAGCACCACCCTACACATGGTACAGAACGATTGCTCTCAATATGCAGCAGAATTTCACAGGGAGAGAGCTGAAACATTTAGGTTCAAGTTCCTAAAAAATATTGTATGTACTAGTATTCTGGATTCAGCTGTAGCAGTTATTTTTCTCTTTCTTAGTAGCTGGTGCACTGCTGTGTTCTCAACTTTAGTCTGAGAACAGTGCTGATAACACACCAATGTTTTTAGCTGTTGCTAAGTAATGTTTACCCCAATCAAGGACTTTTCAGTCTTTTGCTCTGCCAGTGAGGAGGGGCATGGGAAGTTGGGATGAAGTAGAGACAGGAAACCTGACCCAAGCTAGCCAAAGAGGTATTCCATACCACAGCATGTCATGCCCAGTATATAAACTGGGGGGAAGTTACCCAGAAGGTCCAGATCACTGCTCAAGTTGGGCTGGGTATAATTCAGTGGGTGGTGAGCATTGCTTGTGTTTATTGTTTTCTTTTCCTTTTCCCTTTGAGTTTTATATTCTCTCTCGTTGTTATTTCCCTTAATATTATGATCATTGGTGGTAGCAGTAGTAGTTTTGCACTGTACCCTAGTTACTGAACTGTTCTTATCTCAACCCATGGGATTTAAAGTCTTTCTATTCTCCTCCCCCATCCCTCCTGGAGCAGGTGGGGAAGAAGGGTGAGGCTGCATGGTTCTGAGTTACCGTCTGGGCTTAAACCACAGCAACTAGTAACTGGTAAACAGGATTTCATTGTGGTTTGAAGTGGTAGAGAATGTGAGGCAGGATAATGCAGGGAAGCTGCCAAACAGGAAAGCCAGATTTTGCAGAACAGACAAGGCCCTAAAGCCTGCAACTAGTAAACAGTGAGCTGGGAATAATTTCTGTCCTGAGGTCAAATGGTATGGCAGAGCCCATGTCCACGCAGCTAACTATTCTCACACCTCCAACAGTGGCACTATCCATATGGGTTCTGGGAACAGTGTGTGTCCTGTGCTGTCACCCAAGCCATGTGCAGACACACGTGGTTGTGCTGAGCCCCATGCCAAACCTTCAGACACTGCAAACCAGGGAATAGGATGGACGACTGTGCTGATTGCTGTTACTGTGGCTAAGACAGAGGCCCTGTTTAATTTACTGTCACAGTTTGATTATCTGAAGGACTCACACTTAAGCACAAAGTCCAAGCAGATTTTGGCCAACCAAGTGTAACTGCAATAGCATAAAAAATTATCCCAAGTTAATTTTAATCACTTCAGAATATTATGTACAAGTTTTGTGGCTCTGTGGCACACAGCGTCTCCATGCACATTAGGCACCAGACTCAGGGACAGCACATCTCCCATTTTGGAGCAGCTCTAACACCAGTAGATCACCGCATGGCTCCCACTGCCCTCTGGGGCTGGCAATCACAACAAGTCGCCCAGACATGACCACAGTTTTGAACAAGCCTTCTCCAACCTGCTTCAGTCCCTTCTCTCCTCTTTTTACTGCATCTTGGCTTCTCTGAAGGTCAGCCATGCAGCCTTCAGAGCACTGAGATTTTCTGACTAGGATTTGGCATTTAAATTGCTTTTATTTTATTCTCAAGGCAACATTTTTCCTTTTCTCTTTGAGTATTAGTTATTCAGAAATGACAAAGACAATTTCCAAGAAAAAACAACCTTTTTCTCCTCTCTCCCTGCTTCTGTATACAGACACAGAGCTATTTTTCACTGTACTTGTTCTTATACTGAGGATAAGCATGCAGGTTGGGTTTATTGGTTAATTTGTTCAGCCAGTTTTGCAGAACTGTCCTTGGCATTCAGGGAGAAATAATTCTTTCCCATCAGCAAAAAGGAGACAAAAGAGCTAATTCAATACCGCATTAGATTTGCAAGCAGTTCAAGGTCTTATCAGGCTTAAAGATCTTTTTTCAGAGAGGTAGAGGTTTTTCAAAGGAATATATAGAACATCGTGAACTTGAAGTAATAGTTATAACAGTGGAGACAGCAGGGCAGAGGCAGTATGATTTCCATTCAGATTATGGTGACCTTGACACTTTAATTATAAGCAAACAGTCCATTACTGTTACATCTTTAAAAAGACAATAATTGCCTTTATATTTCTTGATTGCCAAGGAAAGGAATTTTGATACTCATTTATATCAATTATTTGGAAACACCTAGCACCACGGTCAGTTCCAAATTCTGAGTCTGATTTGCTGAAAAAAAGGGTGCCAGCAAATTTTCAATCTACCAGCCTTGGGCCAAGATAGGTCTTCCAACTGCACTTAAAAAGACAGAGTTGCCACTAGCTGTCTACCAACAGATGCAATTTTACATTTCTTTTTTCTGCATAATAAACAAGTTCCCTGAATTAAGAGTGAAGTACATCACTGAGTTACCATGTAAAGCAGGAAGGAATTCTTTAGAAAAAGATACGGGGTCTAGCCCTGAAAGTTCCAACCATCCTTTCTTCCTGTTGGCTTTTGGTGCTCACTGTTTCACAAGGTTTGACCAGGGTGAAATTAATCATTTGCCTTTTTCAAGTGCCTGCATTATTTCACTCCAGTTAATAGATGTCATGCTTTCCCATGAAGGGAAGCCTGAAGAGAATTGCACTGTGTAGAATTGGAGCACAGAAATAGTCTAAAACCCAAACAGATCCTGAAATTAAATACTTTATCTATCACCTACTTGCTGATACCTGCAAAATTTTCTTTGAACTTGTAAACATAGAAGAGATCGATTTTAAGGCACTATGAACAGAGGTGGCAGCCAGGGCCTGCTCTTAATCTATTAGTACAGCTGTATGTCACTTGAACAAAACTCCTATTAATCTCAGATTCTGTGTGAAAAAGAAAAGTAGGCACTGCATTGGCATGCACCACTGGCTTGTGCTGATGGCCAGCACAAGGTCTGTGCATCAGTTGTTTCTAAAGACAGGTTTAGCTGGAGCTGGACCCCTTCCCTACAGCCAATGTGAAGTGGCAAGACATGTAGCAGTGCCTGTTAAGAAGCCATGTGCTCCATGAACCACTACGGCAAGCTCCCCCTGCCACACACACACTCTCCTTCCCTTTCGAATGTTTGCTAAATAAAATGTTGAGACTTTTAAATATCCTTTTTAAGACAACACCCTTAAAAGGAAACAAATTAAAATCAAGCATGGGGTGGGAGATTCTACCTCTCCTTGTATGACCTGTAGTTTCCATTCCCTTTGTGAATGAATCTTCATAGATTCTTGATTGAACTTGCTCTTTTTCATATTTTTATTGACACAGTATAAACCAACAATAAACCTGCTTAGCAAAAGTCCTAGCCTGTATACAAAGAAGCTAGAATTGCACCTTGTAAAGCTAGATGCATTTGCTTCCAGGGAAATAAGTAAATCGGCTATATATGTTTAAAAAGTTTTGCTTGCTTTTGCTCCACCTCTCAGTTTACAGTTCTCAAAGACATATATGAAGAGGCCTTCCACTTTCCTCAGTGCTGCATATTTGAAACCGAAATATGACATTTTCCTGATCAAATTATACTTTTGACTGCTTTTAGCAAACCAGTGAAATATTAGAATAAAATAAGTCTTTGGGCACAGATTTTGTGAGGGTAGATGCACATTTGCAGCATTTTAAGGTTTCTTAGTTCCTTTGCTTCCAACAGCCTGACTCAAAAACTTCATGTTAGCTGTGTGGTTGAAGTACTTTGTTAAATATAGACCTAAACAAGAATTCTTTGGCTAAGACAAACTCATCCAATCTTCCATTTATGAAATAAAACAGATCTTACCTCAGCCCTCGGCATTCTGAGACAGAAAATTCCTGTTTCTGCTTATAAAGAGACTGATGCCAGGGAAGTTTCCCAGAAAATGGTGAGCTGTAACAAAACATACTCCTTGTGAGGTGAAGTTCATAGTCAAGAGAACAATGCAGTTTCCAGGTCTACTGAAGTTATTAAGCTTTTCAGGAGAAAAAAAAAATCATCTAGTACCAAAATAAGATTCAGACACCAGTCCTACAAACGACTACGAATAAGGGGTTTTCACATGTCAGCATTCAGTTCTATGAAGCTGCTGGGCTTTGCAAGCCCTTGCAAGATGTGAATAAGGTTTAGAAATCATCCCCTTTATAAGGAGAAATTATTTGGTTTAAATTTGCTCAGCAGTAGAAACAATAAGGAATTTGCTTTATTTAAGAAGAACACTTAAAATTTATTTAAAAGACAATAAAAATACTTTTATTTGGAGATTCAAAAAAGAATTCCACCAATAGAGATGTGTCTTTTCCATCAATAGAATCCCGTCAATAGACATATGTCCTTTCTCCAGGCTCTGGCTCAGGCTTGACTGCCAGCCTGATAGCAAAGGGAGTTTTTTTACGGGGAGCACCCTAATGCTACCTTACTGCTAACGGCTACAGTTTCAAAAAGAAAGAATTGCAACTCTCTGCAGTGAGCAGAAACCCCTCAAAACTGTGCAGTAAAATTGTGATTCTGAGCAGCTGTGTGCTGGCAAGCATTTCTCTCATTTGGAGATACTTACACCTGTCAGGATTTGGGTGAGCTCACAGCTACTATCCCTGCCATATAAAATCCAGTTTGGATCCCCAGAAACCTACAGGTTTATCAGAGCTTGTAATACTAAACCACATCTTTCAACAAGCAAATCTAGAATTAGGAAAATCCCCCATCTTTTGCATCCATGTGGTGGTCTTCAACATTTCTTTGCTTCTCTTAAGTCCACCCAAGATCATGCCTAGGCTTTTAGCAAGTTCTTTGTTTCTTCTGCTGGTCCTGGAGTTGCTATGACCTTCAATGGCATTGCTTGTCTTCATGAAATACTAAGTTTGGCACTTACATTCTACCACAAAATACCATTCAGCACTTTATAAAAGGGGTAAGTAATACAGGCCCTGCAGAAGACCCCATTCTTGTTCTTCTGTTTTGTGTCAGCTGGTTGTAACTGTAGGCAACCCAGAGAGGGCCACATGCCTCAAGGGCTTCTAAAACTTTTGCCTCTCCTGGGCAAGGAGATACAGCTTGTTCCAGATGGTTACTAGAGATTGGTATTGCTTAGCTATATTGCATTGATATTCATTCTCAGAGCAGACAAGTGGTAATTAACCAGTTCCATCTGTATCTGTGTTTGGGCAGAGAGTGATTTATAATGACCGTTCCTACAAAGCAGCAGAGGGAATATGATGAAAAAGTCAGCCCTGATGGGCTATAGTGGTGTTGAGAGACTGATAGATCTGGCAAAGCTTTCCATAAGAACATTAATATACAAGTAAAACTATAGCAATGCTATAGCAATGAACTTCCTACAGCCTGAAGTCTGAATACAGAACATATACATCACCTTGCTATGCTATTCAACTGTAAAAATTACTTCATGACAAAATTTACCCAAATACAGAGACACTGAAAATACTGTCTGAGACTACCATTGTGTAATTTTTGGTTCGAAAGTCCCACCACCTCAGATAAGTAAGGCACTTTCTAGTAAGCTTTACTATTCAAAATTGAGCAGAGATTCTCTGACCTATTTTAGAAAGCAGAGTGCAAAGTATTACAGTGCATATAACAAAGTTGACTTTTATTACTATTTTTGGTGTACCTATCATATCTGATAGGTTATTACAATCACATATCCATGAAGGAATGTAATTTCTGACTGCTAAAAAGGTTCTAATATTTAGTGTAAGTAAGGATCTTCTAGAGATCTAAATAATTCGAAGACTATTCAAAACTTAGTCTCATAACTATCATTATACATGGTCAGAGTTATGGTCATGTAACATTCTTATTCTGAATCATTCTGGTGATGTAAGGGACTTCATAGTATTTGCATAAGAGTTCTCTGAATTACTACTTGTGGCAGTTGTCACCTTGACATTGGGAAGCCCCCCCGAAATTCAAATTCTTCCAATTCACCTGTTTAATCCATAAAACAATATCTGTGGACAGTTCCTTATTTCCATACAGCAATTTCTACAGTATTGAATTACAAAGTTTTGATGCATTTCACTGTTTGCTGTCATAGATGTGACTCATTGTTTCCCAAAAGAAGCATTTGAAGGACAAATGCAGAACTGTTCTTGTTGGAGACGGCAATTTTTCCTTTAAGAAAAACTTAGTGGTATTAGTACTTGAGTACAGTCCTTGGTCCTGGGCTGCTGGGCAAATTTCTCCTTGGAAAGGTTGGACTTCAGTTCATCGTATTTTAAATGGGTCTTTCTAAATATTCTATACATTTTTAATAGAAGTCTAACCAACTGTAAGTTGATTCACCTGCTAAAAAGAGCCTGGTGAAAATTTGGTACTTGAAACCCAGTGACCTTTGTGAAGGCCAGCACTCTCTGTAAACCGAAAATGTTGCTCATACTGTTCTTTACCACTGGTTTGCAGTCCTGGTACAAAAGAGATGACTATAGTATTTCAACGTGGGTCTTTCTGTAATTAAAATAAACTTAAAAATAAAGCAAGTAATCTGTCTACGCTGTAGTAGCAGCTGTCAGAGTGAGCAGCACGTTGTAAATCACCTTCTGTTTAAAATGCAAGTGTTAAGAGTTATTTATAACTACACCATATAGTCACAAAGGACTATAAAGGTTTGGTGATTCACAGATGATAACAAAGAACATGCTGTGGGACAGACATGGGTGAGAAAGTAGCATTTTTTTTTAGACAGAGCCATTTGGAGTTCTTCACACTATTCCCAAGCAGTCCCCAAGGGCATCAGCAGCACCACTGGACTGGACTTCTACTCACTTCACCTGAAAACCCAGCTCTGCTGCAGCTAGTAAGAATTTTGCCCTTGTTTTAGTAAGAGCCAAATTTTCACTTCTGTGGCAATTATTTATTATGTGACAATTAACTGTTTATTATGGACAATTAAGACTATATTAGCATAGAACAACCAAGTGAAAACTTGACTGTGGCAGCTTTGCAGTGAGTGCAGTTATTTTCCAGGTTCTAGCTACCTCTGAATCATCAGGTACTGCTCATACCTACGACTAAGTGACATACATTCTATTTTGCTAAATACATTGTAGATGAGAGCAAAAAAATTGGCCCAGGGGTTTCAGCTGGGGAAAAAAGGCAGGTTCAACCTGATCTGGCAAACTATCCTAAAACTATGCAAAGCAAAAGTATTTCTAATTTGACAATTGTGATCTTTTTAACATCAGGATTTTAGTTAGGAAAAATGTAAATAAAAACTTAAAGTTTGTCAGAATATCCTAGAAAAAGAAATCCCATGCTATTTAAAGCTTGATAAAGACCAGCTTTCAAACAGATTGTCTCCTCCTCTCAGCTTTTCGACCAGAGAAAATGTCTGTTCTGAGGACCTTGACACCACTATGGAACAAAGTGACCTTGGAGTGCACCATTACACATATAAGATAATTCAGGGCAGGCTTTCAAAATTTATATGCCACGGACTCCATAGTTATACATTGCTGATTGTTGAGGAAGAGAACTTACAAATATACTGAATTTTTAAATCTGAAGGCCTTCAATTATGGTGCTGGCCATTGGTCTTGTGTATGGTGACTTTAAACCTCTTCCCTGGCTGTGATGTGTGCAATGTGATTTCTGGTTGATCATCATCAGATGCAGCTAAACTGTAAGAATTTAAAAAACACTGATAAATATCAAATTATTTTAACTATATTGAATTGATTGCTGGAGATCTGGGCTCTGATGAAAAAGGAAAAGCTTTCTTCCTGCTTAAAGGGACTCTCTCCTGTTCTGCTGTTTGCAATATTTGATCGATTGCCTCGCTCTGGCATAATTGAATCTGCCAGAACTTTGGGAAAGAGCTGGATTAAGTAGATCTGTGGACCAAAATTTTGTGGCGCAGCTTTTGGAAAAGAAAGTATTTGGACTGGTCTTTGCATACTGTAATAGTAAACATATGCCTGTGTGAGACCCACAGCCACCAGCTCAGAGCAGACGAGTAACTCGGCATCCTAAGTTGCTGAGTTTGTAATCTTTCTACTAGTAACATGTAGTACCATATGGATGTGTTGAGTTTTCAAATACCAAAGCTTTTCTAGTTACAACTAAACTTACAATACATGGCTAGCTCATGTAGAACAATGAATAATTATTACATAAAAGAGCAATTTTTGCTTATTGGTGTATTTTATACTACTGATCATAGCGAGAAGCACCATTCCAGTCTCCAGGCTTGTATAGCTTACATATTTCAGAATGTAAAGTAAGTCTACACAGAGAGATTGAAGTAGTATAGTAAATTAGAAAGCAACAGAAATGAGGTGGGTTTTTTTTAATAGTATCAGCTAAAAATTATTTCTTATTAGTTGTTCCTGAACAACAGCACATCAGTGTTTGCACTACTTTAAAATCAGTAGGAATAGAACCTTCTATCAGTTACAAACATTAGGAACAATTGTTAGATGTATTCCCTAGCCATTCAGTGAACTTAATTCTCTGTAGCTGACAGTCATAGTTTTGACTGTAATTACTGGAAATGGCATTGTGAATGATTTCAACGGTAAAAAGCCCCACGTAAGCCAAGATTTACAAATGGAAATCAAACTTAGTATCAGACCTAGAATTCACTGATGGCAAGCAAAATTTTCTTTATGATTGCAGTGTAACAGAAAAGCTACATCTACATCCAGATTTTATTTTTTTTTAGTTCTTTTCAACTTTAGGGTTTTCTTCTTTACCTTTCACTCTTCTGTTTTACTCATGCTTTATAGCAACTCTCAGAAAAAAACATATTACAATAACTTTGTCATTTCAAAGCATCTCTAAAACCTCATACCATTACCTGGAGCTAACACAAATCTAATCAGCTCATCCAGCTTAAGTTTCCATTGCTTGTTGAAATAATAGCTCGCAGTTGCTCTTGGCCAACATAACTAGTGCCTAAACAATACAAGCTCCAAAACCACCTATAAAACAAGCAAATAAAGACCCCACAGGCTTTGTAAAGGCTGAAACAGTCAATTGGATCCTGACAAAATAGACCATCTAAATGTTACATTTATTCTTCACACTCTGTCTTTGAAATGAAGAAAGAGTGTCCACATATCTTTCACAGTTCATTAATCTTACCAGGATACAGTGGCACATTGATCAAAACTAGTGAAAGGAATGCTGTCCACAGGTGACTAATATACACAAGACATCTAGTTCCATTTCTTTGGAGAAGCATGTTTATCCAGCAGAGTATCCTTAAGGATTTAATTCCAAACATAGGCACCCCCAGTATTTGTCTAAATAAAAATGCAAAGGCTCTTTTTTTCAAGAATTCTTTTGTTCTACTTAAAGTAACTTCATTGTTGAGGAAAAAAAAACCAAAATACATCTGAAAAATTCTCTTACACCTCTTTAGGTTTCACATGAGAGTTAATTTATGACTTCAGTTAGATGGGGAAAGAGATGAGATGGAGACATCTACTAGTTAAATGTCTTATAACTAAAGAAAATGAAAATGAGTATTAGAAAATAAAGCTATTTGTACAGCTTGGCAATGGAAGAATGTATACTGAACAAAGAACTTTGGCGCGTACCTTGGAGTTGACAGACTAACTACACTTTGGGAAGAATAATTCTTTGGCATTGCTTTCACCACTTTGACTGATGGCTAGAAATCAATACGACATCTGCCATGGAAAGTAATGCCATTGACTAGTGTTTATTGCTTTTCTATCTTCAGGAATTAGATTTTTGACGTTATAAGCAATCAATTGTTACATTACTCATGGTTTTGCTGGTTTGTGTTTTATCAAGCAGCAGATGTTGACCTATGAGGTTTTGATTTTTTAATGCAGTTTAAATTCTTAATAGTTCTATGCATTCACTGACATATGTATTTCCTGCATACTGTTATAGTTGCAAACAGAAGTCCACATAGTAAATCTAGAACATGTCCATCAGGCAGCAACATATGAAGCTTTGGAATACTTGCTTAGAACAAATACATTTTAGATACTCAGAAGCATTTAGTAACATCATAATAACAATAACTTAGAACTATACATTAAAGAAACTACGCATGCTTTTAGTTCTTACAATAGGATACTCCAGGCTGTGTCTACTTTAATGCATTTATTTGGTTTAAAAATAAATTTGGTTTCAAAACTCTCCCTTTCTTGTCTTCTCTCCTCTCCTCCCCATTTGGAACATATATTCCCTTTGCTGAAGTATGTCTTTCCTAGGAGACATAACTGTTGGTATTGAGCAAATCCCAAGAATAGGTATTCCTCAGACTGTGATTTTCTGTACATTAATAGCACAAGTAATGTGCTTATGTTAATAAGACATTTTCAGTGTCTTAAAAAAACAATACAAGAAACCCTATAATTTTGTAGACTTTTCAGAATTAAATATAGGTGTAAAATTCAAAATCCACTTGGATATAAGGATTATGCTTTGGCACAGGCTTTGCAATACTAAACTACTAAAGTAAGAGTGAATATATGATAATACCCTACCAGAGATGAAGTTTGATGGAACAGGAGAAAAGATAAGTAGAAATTAAAAAGACATGTATATAAACAATTGTATAGTGTAGAAGTAATGTAATACCCCAGATTTTTGGGCTGTTTTATTTGACCTTTACAGTATTTATTCAAGAATAATGGGAAAATCTGGAAACTGGAAATTTATGCTTAAAATGTACATATTTGACAAAATTAGAGAATATACATGTGTCACTTTTTTATAATCTCAACATTTTAAAGAATCTGTAGATTGGTATCTGTAGGAATATGTTGTGTTTGAAGTATTTTCTGTATTCCCTTACAGAACAAAAATAAAAAAGACAAAACATGTATTTAATTTAGTTCCTTTGTTGTTGTGACTAAAGTTTAACTAGTTCAAAGGACATACATGCCAGAGAAGACTGTTTTATGGTAGAATAACGGGCCATGTTTCCACGTTAATCTAACTGAAGAACAACTGTTTCTGACAGCACCTCTTACAAACTGAGTCTTGAATACAACTCCTCCCAAGGAGAATTAGCAGAGCTGGTGAGTCTGGCTGTTCTAAAAGCCAGTTCATGCTCTGTATTACAACAGACATGTTTTCAAAAACACAAGCAAAGGAATCTCTCACACTTTTTGCCTCTTTAGCATAATAACAGGCATGTATATCTTATATCTTGTAGGTTTTTCAGTACTAGGGACTGCTATTAAGCAAATGCAGTAGAACAATGTAAAGCAGGAGTGAGAGGAACATGGACAAGATAACTCATCTCTTAGTCATATGAACCACTGTTTTCTTCTTACTAAATTGTTAATCTACAGATTTGTGTTAATCTAGAGTTTGTTAAAGAAATTTATTTGTTTTATTATAGAATCATAGAATCCCAGACTGGTTTGGGTTGGAAGGGACCTTAAAGCTCATCCAGTTCCAACCCCCTGCCATGGGCAGGGTCACCTTCCACAAGACCAGGTTGCTCCAAGCCCCGTCCAACCTGGCCTTGAACACTGCCAGGGATGGGGCAGCCACAGCTTCTCTGGGCACCCTGTGCCAGGGCCTCAGCACCCTCACAGGGAAGAACTTCTGCCTAAGAGCTTATCTCAGTCTCCCCTCTGGCAGGTTAAAGCCATTCCCCCTTGTCCTGTCCCTACAGGTCCTTGTTCGAAGCCCATCTCCAGGTTTCTTGTAGCCCCTTTAGGTACTGGAAGGCTGCTATAAGGTATTGGAAATTTTACTTGTAGAATATAAAAAAAGATGAAGGCAAGTAACCTATCCCTTACTCAGCAGGGGTCTTTGAGATGCAACCAGCAGAACTTACAAACCTGGCACATCTCTGCTGCTCCTCACCCCCCCACTCAGAACATTATTCTTCCACTGTTCTTAAGACAAAGTAGATAGGAGAGCTTCCCAGGCACTAAGGAAGTACATGCAGTACCCTTTCTAAGTGAATGCAAGAAAGTATCCCTGTATGAGATGAGGCCCCTAAGCTCCCGTTGGAGCAACAGGGTTTCTGCATCCCCAGCTTAACACTATGGGCCCTTGTCTGTGGCCTGTTACAGCCATGGAGTCATGGTAATGACTGCAGCTGGCTCTGAATCCAGTCCTGCAGAGGAGCTAAGTCTTCTCTCATCAGCATAAAGAAAGGCTGAGAAACCTGATGAGTAAAAGAATTGCTTTGAACCTTTTCTTTTTTAAATGGTCATAGAAGCAACTCTGTGTATCAAACACCATGTGGCATAAGGAAAAGACTATATTTTCCAATTTATGCATCATCTGAGGATCATTAGCATTTCAGCTACTGAAAACAATTCAACCTATTCTTAAGATAAAGAATCAAAAAAGTCAACAATCAACAAAAAAAGTTGATAAATAGCAAATATTACATAAAAACACATCACATTAGGCATGTTGAATGAAGAAATCTATGTGTTATTGTAACACTCTCTTGTTTACCTATGTTGTTATATTTCACTACAGTATGTTTTCCTGTTTACATGACAATGCACTTGTACATCAGAACAGATTTTACCCAACTATCATGTACAGGTTCACACTAATTCATACTACCACTGAATTCTCTCATGTAACATTAGGGTTTTTTCCTTCATCACCTCTACAGTTTTCTGCATTTCAGCCCTGCAGTTCATTTGTCATTACTGATTTTATCTGCTAGTAAAAGTTACCCTTAAGTCCTTTGTGCAAATACTCTCTTGGGGTAATAATATAAAATAATATGATCCCCTTCTCAGAAATGCAAAACATTGATGTTGCTCTACTGTCACACACAAAAAGTGGAAAAATATGAAGGAATGGAAACAAATGTTTGAAAGAGAGAAGTGCTACACTATGCCAAGAAACTGATTCTTGTCAAACTCCATTTGCTACATTAAAATGTTTAACGGAAAATGACTGGGTAAGTCTTCCTAACATGAATAAAGTGAAGTTTTATTGTTTCTATTTCACAATCCACAAAAACAGTTTCAATTGGTTTCAAGTTAATTCCTTTGGTTCCAATCATCAGACAAATAAAATGCAGCAACATAAACCCCTATGGTAATTTGAAAACAAACATGGTGTGGTTCAATCACAGCTGGCAGCTAATGGGCTTGAACTATCCTAATGGTATGGGGAGCAGGGTTTGAAAAGGTAAAACCCATGGGTTGAGACAAGAACAGTTTAATAATTCAAACAATTGAGATAATCAAACCAAAATAATATCAACAGGAAAAAGAGTATTAAACCCCAAGAAACACAGGTGATGCACAATGCAGTTGCTCATCACCTGCTGGCTGATGCACACCCTGTCCTCGACCAGTGATCAGCCCCTCCTGGCTTATTCCCCCAGTTTCTATACTGGCCATGATGCTCTGTGATATGGAATATCCCTTTGGCTAGTTCGGGTCAGGTGTCCTGTCTCTGCTCCCTCACTGGCAGAGCATGGGAGACTGAAAAGGTTTTAAAGGTTGGACTTCATGATCTTAAAGCTCTTTTCCAACCTAGCTGATTCTATGATTCTGTGAAAAGTCCTTGATTAGGGTAAGCACTGCTCAGCAACAACTAAACCATTGGTATGTTACCAGCATTGTTCTCAGACTAAAGCCAAAATACAGCACTGCAACAGCTATTAAGAAAAAATAAAGCCTATCTCAACTGAAACCAGGACACATCAGATGGTTGGAGATAATAAATGCAGAACATGAATATTTAGGAAGTCGGGCACCAGAAACTACAGGCCAGAGGTAAAATGGTCTGCTACAGTCAAGGGAAGTTTAAATAAATTACTTACAGAGGCATACTTGGGCTCTGTTCCTGAGTCTCATTTGTGCTGTCTCCAGATGAACACTGGAGTGCAAATGAGAGTTGGTCTCAGCTCATCCTTATGCTACCAGATTTTTTTTATTGTGATCTCACTGGCATCCTGGACTTCTTCTCCATTTATCTAAGAAAAAAGTTGAGAAAAGTTAAATAAGAAAGCTCTCTAAATTGGAACTATGAATATATTCTCCCACCCACAATGAATCTAGTAGATCTACTCCTATCTTTTGGCCAAGGTATCCTTTTAGCTAATACAAAGACTAGCAACAGAAGAAGGATCTGCTCTCCCCCACAAACAGGCTAACATGTTTCAGAAAGTGAAAGTTGCTAAGAAACAGCACACAAGTCAAACATTTCAGGTATTGGTCATAGAACCATAGAATCATAGAATGGTTTGAGACTTAAAGCTCATCTAGTTCCAACCCTCCGCCACAGGCAGGAACACCTGACAGAAGTAGTTGGTACTCATCTTCTTGGGCTTTTTTATTTGAGATGAAAATGTTTTAGAAAATCAAACAATGATAAAAAGTTGCCTGGATATTTATACAGGAAACTTTTAATCAGTGCTTGCTTTCAGGTGGTTCTTGCATGGAAGAGCCAAAGGAGGCCATTGCCCAAGGCAGAAAACTGGGACAGTAGAACAGCCATTGCCCTCCTGTTCACTTTTCCTCTACCAGAGCTCTGAAAAACAGACTGGGGCTGCTAGTAACAATATACTGATGATTTTACAAACTGGGGAAGGAAGCCCTGACAGCCCACCTTACAGAATGCCTTTCCCTTCTACTGGGAGAGGATTAAGGCCATTAGAAGAAGGTGGTGGTTCAGAGTGTGAAGGGAAACTCCACACTGCAAATGCTGGAGCTTCCACAGGGAGAGGCCACTCTGCAGTGCTCACTGGGCTCAGCAGGAGCAGTGGGCACCCCAGGTAATGTTGCTTCCCACAAAGGGGAATGTGCTAGTGAGAGATTATGAACTGGTTCTGCCAGTGTAGGTGGGTGGAGGGAGACATGGGGCTACATGAGGGCCAGGGTTTACACCTGTGTCTCTCTCCAGAGACAGGACTTCGGGATCTGGTTGAGAGCAGAGGCTGAAGGAGGAGATTCACAGCAGTCCAGTGCAGTTCCCAGAAGGGGACTGCAGCAGTGAATGGGATGGGAGCCTGCTAAAGGCATTTATTAACAGTTGGTGCTATTCTAGTGCTGTGTATGGTACTGACACGATGGAGTAGGAGCCTACTGTTTTTTCAATAGTAATTTCACAGAGCTGGGAAGGGAGAATGTGTCAGAGGATGGTTTCTCCTGCTGACCACCACTGCAGTGTGTGGCTTGGCACACCATCCTTCAGGAGCTTGGGAAGGGAAGAGGAGCATGCTGGAGATGTGCAACACTGGCTTTTGCATCTTTATTTTCTTTTCCATGTCAAGTTCTTTATGTCTCATGGGAGCTCCAAGTGATTAACCACAAACTCTGGTTGATGATCCTTTTAAAAGCAGTTTGCTGTGCTCCTGCGGAAAACCAGACTGTCCTTCAGGCAAAAGCAGCATATACAAAATAAGATGTATTTGCTAAAACTGTGCCTTTCCCACTTTGAAGCTGCCTGTAATTACATACCTAGGGAATAGTTTCATGTTTACGTTTTCAAGTGTATGGGTGGTTGTATTTAGCATAGTATTTTTCATCTTTTCCTTTCTTGTTACACTTTTTGTGGCCATAAATTACATTATATTATGTTACTGAAAGAATGAGGATTGAGGGCAAGTCACAACAGCCTTGAAACAAGAGGCCAACTTGTTTTGGTGGTGGCCAGCTCCTCTGAGCCTTCTGAAAGAGCTGCCAGCTGGCTCCCTCTTCCAGTTACTATTCAGAAGTAAGTCTGGCTCTTTCCCATGATGTCTAATGCCCAAAGGGATCTACTGACTGGTCTGACATCACTTATTGGGGAGGAAAGCTGGCCAAGTGCCACAGCCTCTCCACCCTGCAGCCAGACCAAATGGCTCTTGCTCAATAAAGCTGGCTGGGGGGCCTTGGGTTCAATTCTTCTTTTGGATTTAAAAGCATAAATTCAGATAGACTTAGCTGGTTTCACAGGAGGTCTTCCAGATTTACACCAGTTTTCTTGTGATCAGAGGCCAAAGTGAGGTCCAGAGTACATAAAATCAATCCAGGCTTTTGGTCTAAATTTATAATGTTCCTTTAGAAAGCGTTCAAGAAAGATTTATCCCCTGGTTAAAAATTCATTTCAGTTGACTTCATCTTTGTCAGCCATTGAACAGCACCCTGAAAATCTTCTTTTGTCACTAACACAGCATTTATTATTTATATATGTGATTACATGTGAACAAGACCACGGAAATAATTTCAGCTGTAAATTTGCTGTCTTCTTTCCAAAAAAATCATTGTGTCTTTATGAATTTTTTTTAAATTAATTGATTGCTTTCACAAACAGTAATAATTTAATAATTTATATTTCTTAGGTTGGTAGCTAATTTTCTTCACACAAGTACTGTCTTAATACAACTATGGTTACACATGTGAGCTCCATATAATGACCTCGAGGAACTCTGCACTGATATTAGTGGGATTCGTGTGTGTTTCTGCAGGCAAAATGTATGTTACTAATTTTCGGGCAGTATTTGTTTCCACGTTTTGGTTTTCAGTATCTCAGTCATTAGAATTAGAGAAACTTAATGATGCGCATTACAGTTTAAGTCTTTGAATACTTAAAGTTTTCTTTGAGTATGTTAATGTATTTCCTGGAAAAATCTCTGCTTTTTTATCAGATACTTTAATGTATGGTTAGAATAGATGCTACTTTGTGCTATAATGGAATAATGTGCTAAATTCCTCTTGGGACAGAATTTAGGAATACTGGACATTATTAAAGAGATATGCTGTTGGCATGTCAGTAGGTCTGTCTCTTATTAAGGTTGCTTTACACTGCTTTATAAGAGCAGATTTTCAGTTGCAAGCACTGAGAAGCTTCAACCACGTGAGTTGTATTTTCTGTGCTGTCTGCTTCAGACTACTAATTTTTAGCTAGAGAAAGTCCCAGACAGAGCAGTTCAGCCCTTAAAAAACATTTCGTCTAGCTCAACAAATAGGTGGGAAGAGGGCACAGGAAATAGCAGTGGGGATGGAGAAATGCAGAAACCCAAGGGAAGGAAACTAATTTGGAGCCAGTTACTGGGCAGGGAAATGACAGCTTTGGAAGATGGAGGAAGGTGAGGTACTGATCAGTGAGGTGTGTGTGCATTAAAGTTAATTGCAGAGATGAGTTTAAACGGGAGTCCTGAAAAGTGAGCTGAAAGAGATGGAACTGAACAAGGAAACGAAAGCTGAGGAAGAAAATTTTTGGAGGGACAGGGCAAGCTTTGGAAGTGGTTTCCAGGAGGACTTGATCCATTACCTTCCCATGGATCGTGATGAGGCTAACTAGCCTGTGGTCCTGTGAATCCTCCTTCTTGAAGAAAGAAGTGACATTTACTCTCTTCCAGTCCTCAGGAACCTCTCCTGATCACCATAATCTTTCAAAGATTATAGACAGTGACCTTGCAGTGACACCAGCTGGTCCCTTGGCACTCATGGTCCCATGTCAGGTCCCATGGACTTCTGCACATCCAATTTGTTTAAATGCTCCGTAACCTGGTCCTCTTCCACAAAGGTTGAGTCTACCTTGCTTCGGACTTTCCCAGGGGTCTCAGGCACTTGGGATTCCCAAAGGATGGTCTTACCAGTGAAGACTGAAGCAAAGAAGGTTACTGAGGGCAGCAGCCTTTTCCATGTACTTTGTCACCAGTGCCCTGGCTGTGTTCAGCAGTGGGCCCATGTTTTCTCTTGCTTTCCGTCTGTGCTGATGTATTTGTGAAAACCCTTCTGGTAGCACTCATGCCACTCATCAGATTCAAATCTTGTGGGCTTTGGCTTTCCTAACTCCAGCCCTGCAAGCTTGGACAGTGTCTCTATTTTCCTCCTGGGTCAACTGACTCTGCTTCCATATCCCGCATGCGTTTCCTTTATGATTGAGTTTAGTCAGGAGCTCCTCTTTCACCCATGCAGGTCTCCTGCTGCCTTTGCTTGATTTCCTGCTCACAGAAATGGACTCTTCTTGAGCTTGGAAGCAGTGATCTTTGAAAATGAAGCTATTGGAACAGAAAACACACTGAAATGTTAAATGTTGCCTCAGAAAATCACATTATAGTTCTGACTATCAAGGTTTCCTGCCTTGCTCTCATTAAGCAAGGCACTTCAACCAAATTTTTCATAGTCATTAATTTCTTATTTTCGAGGTGTCTGTCCTGAGCTAATGTTCTGATTGACAGAAATGCTGAGCGCTATTTATTGCAAGTGAATGAATAATGATCTTTAATTTGAACATGAAGAGCTTTATTATGGCTCTAAACACCATGTTCAGAGCATCTCAACAGTGCACCTCCAAGTGAGAGGATACTTTTGACCTTCATCTCTCTGTGCCTCAATTAAATGCAGCCCTTATCTTGCAAGAGTTTGTGATGTTAAATTAATTAGTCATTGTGAAGCCCTCAGAGACAGTAGTGATAAATGAGGCAGAAAAGTCAATGCAGGAACTATTTCTCTTCTGAGATGGTTTGAACAGTGCCAAACAAATAAAAATGGTGCCACAGACAGCATAAAAAGTGTATCAGGTGGTTCTGAGCAGTGTTTTGTGAGAACTGCTCACCCTTGGCGCTTAAAAAGGGTCCTATGGAAAAAAGGGCTGAGAGATTATGAGCTGCATATGCATGGAGAATACAGCACAGCTCCAGAGACTATCTTAAATTCTGGCATTTTCCAATTTTCAAATCATGATTTTGCAAAATTTGAAGTGTTTTTACATGTCGCTGTGACAGTGTATTTGATACTTCAGCAGAATAGGTGATGATAATAGGTGGTTTTTTTGTTGGTCACAGCCCTTCAGCTTTTCTTTACTTTGTGACTCAGATGGTTATTAATATGCTTTGATTATTAACATGCAGAGGTTTGTTCACTAATGAAACTACAAGAGTGTCTCTGATAGTGTAAGAAACAGCCTCATTAGAAATAACACCTTTCTCAGACAAACACTGAACTTGGTATAGAGTTAATTATCCATGTTTTGTCTGAAGTGAAATATACATCTTAAATGGTCTCTAATCAAGTGTTCACTCAGAGCTTAACAATGTGCGCATATCTTGATTATTGAAAAAAATAAGGTAATAGAAAACATCTATATTGCAAAGAAAACTACATATTTTCATTAACATAATGGAACACATTTTCCATGGAATTATGGTACTGTAACCCCTGCAGTTTTGTCACATATTTTATTCCATTCCTTTATTTTCACAGGTTTAAAGCTTGGCTGAAAGTCTAAGCTAGAAAATTATAACATGAACACTTTTCCCTGTTATCTTTCAAAAAAAATCAATTTTTTTTGAAGTGCCAGTTTTTTGAGTTCCAACTACATGGAGTTTTCCTCTAAAAAGTGGGAAATGCACTTCTGATCATTCAAACAGCAAATGAGAAAGTTTCCTCCTATTCACTTTGAAGAGATAGAGAATTAATGAACTTCAAACCTGAGCATACAAGCCTTTTGATAAAAATTTTGCTGTGGTTAAACCCCAGTTGAAGCTGTATAGCCAGCAAGCTGAGACTGAAATAAAGGGTGAGTCAGTGCCCCCATGCTGCTGGACCTTCAGCACTTCTTGAGTTCATCTAAACTCATGTTTGACACTAATATGAGGTTGTACCACAACCTAACTTCTCTGCTAGCTAAAAATCCGCTTCCAGTTTAGCCATTGTCAGTACATAATCACTGTTTTTTTTGTGCTGTCCCTTCTTCCTCTGGTGTATTTACATTGCTCTAATATGTTCCAAGACATGTCTCCTCTCAGCCTTCTTTTGCTGAGCTAAATGAGCTAAACTGTTAAACTGCCTCACACAGAATAGGCTTCTTGAGCCTGTTCTTTTGGGAATGCCCTCTCTGCATCTCCTGTGTTTTGAATTCAACATTTCCGTAATGCTAACCAGAACAATAGCACAGAGAAAGTCTTTCAAACACTTTCCATAGCAACACTACTATTTCCCCTTTTCCAGCTGCAAAACACTTCACCTATACTTACAAACACTGTACTACCTAGTAAAAGGCACATTTTCCACAGCTGTGGCAAGTGAAGGTTTGAAGTTATCCTGAATATAACATACCCGTATCTTTCTCCTCATCTGCTGTTCCAGCACAGTAGAGAAGATGGGACAGTACCGTGAAGCAAAACTGTCTGGAACACAAGCAATATGCAGTGAAACTCTGAACCAGACCTAAATTCTTCTCACTGGAGTCAAAACAGCTCATTCTTTATTTCAAAAATAGCAGAAAAGAACACATAAACACATAACCTACAGGAATATCCTGTAATATTTAAAATACCTCTGAAAATTTACGAGTACTGCTCAGTAATACTAGGAGCAAAATTCTAGATATGAGCTTCCAGAAAGCCAGTCGCATTTCTGCCTAACACATTGGAGGGATAGGGAGTGGTTGGGCTGGGAGCAGGATTCAAGTTTCATTGCTTCTGTTAAGTTTGGGATATCAGAAACACACATAGCACAGCTCCTTGGGCAGCCTGTCACGTCTGCACCTCAGCGTCCCTGAACATTGCCACTGGCCCCTCCACCAGCATCCACGGCAGGAACTCGTGTGAATTATTTCTTGTGCCTGGAAGAGGCTTCATGACTAACTGCATCCTTTCCATGTGACCTTGCAATCACCACCACAGGAAGTTTACACTTTGCTGTCATTTATACCTTGAGAACTATTCTGAATTGTGACAACTGTCAATTTCACCTAATTAAGGAGGGCTTGATGTAGCAGGAAAAAAGAACATATTTGCACTTGTGCTCACTCCCCTTCACCCCCTCCCGACAAACAAATGCTTAATTTGACCAGATTCTTCATGAGGCAAAAAGTGGTACTCAGAGGCAGCTGGAACTTGAACCTTCCAGTTTTAACATGTCAGTATAAAAAATAATTTTTCATTAAGAACAGTAAGTATCTTGTTGATGTGTCAGGAACTTCACAGTCTGAGATATTGTTAAAAATGTAACCAGCCATGATGGTTTCAAGAGGGATCTGTATGTATGGCATGCTCCAGTTGATGACAGAAATAAATCTTTTATATACAATGTCAAAGACAGAATTCTGCAGCCTACACAGAGACAATGAAAAGCAGGATGATCCAAGGTGATATTTTTAAGTCTGTACCACTATTCAGAATTATGCAATCACTCATTTGAATTAAGAAAATGAGAGGTACAAAGATGAGAAGACTAAAGGAAGGTATAAGGTCTTCCCAGCTGCTCAGTTTATTAAAGGTACCAAAATCTGAAGAGGCAACACAAGTAACAGAACTAGAGAACAGTGAAGTTAGTGAACCATGAAAAATATGACTTTTTCTTTCAAGCCCATAGCTCTCTTTCAACAGCCGTGTGAAACAGTTCTCCTTTGTGGGGGCTTTTTACTTTTTAAATGAATGGTTACAATTCTTTTTATTCTTGATAAAACCTACCTATCCTGTTGGCAGTAAGGGCATAAGTCTGCCTTTAGGAAAGAATTCTGAATGTCCATTCATTTCTTCTATAAAAAAAAAGAAAAATCACTTTTGCAAAAACATTTTGCTGCTGTCAACAGGTTTTAGTGATTTTGTTTGAAGCCAGTGATGCTTTAGCGGGTTAAATGCAGAAGTACTTGTTAGTTTGATGCGTCATGTTGGTGTTAGGGAGTGATGGGCACCTGTAGGTGCTGGGGGACCTGGACCAGGCACTGACATAGTGATACCAGGAAAGCAGTGTGCTCTGGGGGTGGTCCCACGGCACCCCAGGGAAACCTGCTGCCTGCAGCTCATCCTGCTCCCATTGCACAGAGGCAGCTTTTGCTTGTGTGATATGGTCAGAGGAGTGGGGTTGGTTTACTGTCTTGCTCCAGCAATGGCAGTCAAGTGCAGGGCTGCCTAAGAGGTAACCCCAGACTGCACAAATCCTATGGATCGTGTATCTTAATGTCCCTTTTTCATTTCCCACCTTTTTACCACCACTTCCTCTGCCCTGATCTCCTCCACAACACCCGATTACTTTTTCCCCAGTGCTCCCAATGTTGCTATATCCGTCCCAAATTTGCCAATTCTGATAACATTACCTGGGTAATTTTGGCCTTTCATGGCCTTAGTGATGCAGTTACCTTGCTGCCTTGCAAGATGTTACTCCCCAAAGGTCTTTGGAACAGCTCCCCATTTTTCCATGAAGCTGCTCCTTCTGTTCTATTTCTCACTAACTCCCCTTTAACCACCTGGGAACCCAGCCATACTGCACCACAGTATCTGTAACTTCAGTTGTTTTCTCACACTCTTTGCAGTCATGTTCAGCACTTCCTCATGTAGTGTCCAGCAATTTTCTATATCCTGTTCCCCTACCTAACCTCAGGCCAGGGCTTAGGAAGTTATTATTTCTAGTGTTGACTCCCTAAGATAGATTTTCCATATTTTTTCTTCCTATCCTTCTGTCAATTCAGATGGATCCTCTTTAGTTCCCTTAATTTTCAAATCCAACCGCATCTTCTGCCTATAAGCTTTCTTCCTTACTTACCTATCTCCTCACTCAGCTGATTCGCCTGTTCCCTGGATTAGGGATGTTACAGGATGAATTCTTTCTCCTTCTCCTAGCAGCCTCTTAAAATCTGAAGACAGTTGCTGGCCTGAAGGAAATTTAGTTAACAACAGAAAGGCTTCAGCAAAGAGAGTTGTTTCATTGTCAGCAGAAGCAGATGGAAGTGCTTATCTCAAAAGCAGTGCTGGAGCGCTAGTTTTTCTTTGTACACATTCTTAACCAGCTGCTTGAGTACCAACTTCTTGAGTACAGCACTACAGGCTCTGAGCAGAACTGTGTGCTTTTACATGCAGATTACAGGGAAGACATGGCACTGGTTTAAGATAAAAAAGATTAAGTGTCCTCAACATGAAGCATTTTGTCCACATGTGAAGCACCCTTCTTTTCTCCTGTATTTCTAAAATTCATGGCTCTTTAAAGGACTTCAAGTTAGGAACCCAAAATCTGACATATCCAAAATAACTAGAAACTCTACAGAATTTGCTA